CCTTGCTGCACTTTAGTTACACTTGTTACTTGTTACCCGTTACGAATTATCGTATCACAAAACTATTTGTTACCGATAACTTCAGTGTTTGCAGAAAATACCTTGCTGAAAACCGCTTGCCATTTCCTTCTACTCCTCGTTGGGTTCGACACTCTTACTTATCGAAAGGATTGCGATAGATCACCTATACTTGTGGATCATCAACTGCACAACCCATAACTAACGGGCAAGAACGCTTCACTCGGAAGTGGTGACCACTGAGGCACTGACCAAGTTGATGACCTTGGTGCTTCTTCCAACACAGATCGTGTCATCTTGCGTGTGTTCAGCTTGATTGAATACGATCCACGAATCCCTGCCGAAGCCATGACCTCAGTATTCAAGTAGTGCATTCAACTAGTATTTATATTTTATATCACCAGCAAAAGAGCCCGTGTGTTGCAATGAAAAAATAATAATACCACATGCCTCTACTCAATAGTTATGGTTGAAGACCACAATAGGTTCATATCCTTTATTTCAACATGAAATCCCATTTGTTTTGCTGCTTATCCTCCTTCTCACCATCGCCGATGGTGTCCTTCGTGCTCACACAATCACAACGCATTTGAATATGATTAATTTTAAGGTGTCTCTTGAAGGAAATATGCCCTAGAGGCGATAATAAAGTTGTTATTTATATTTCCTTATATCATGATAAATGTTTATTATTCATACTAGAATTGTATTAACCGGAAACTTAGTACATGTGTGAATACATAGACAAACAGAGTGTCACTAATTTGCCTCTACTTGACTAGCTCGTTGAATCAATGATGGTTATGTTTCCTAACTATAGACATGAGTTGTCATTTTATTAAACAGGATCACATCATTAGAGAATGATGTGATTGGCTTGACCCATCTGTTAGCTTAGCACGATGACCGTTTAGTCTGTTGCTATTGCTTTCTCCATAACTTATACATATTCCTATGACTATGAGATCCTGCAACTCCCGAATACCAGAGGAACACTTTGTGTGCTACCAAACGTCACAACGTAACTAGGTGATTATAAAGGTGCTCTACAGGTGTCTCCGATGGTGTTTGTTGAGTTGGCATAGATCGAGATTAGGATTTGTCACTCCGATTGTCGGAGAGGTATCTTTGGGCCCTCTCGGTAATGTACATCACTATAAGCCTTGCAAGCAATGTAAGCTAATGAGTTAGTTACGGGATGTAGCATTATGGAACGAGTAAAGAGACTTGCCGGTAACGAGATTGAACTAGGTATTGAGATACCGACGATCAAATCTCGGGCAAGTAACATACCGATGACAAAGGGAACAACGTATATCGTTATGCGGTTTGACCGATAAAGATCTTCGTAGAATATATAGGAACCAATATGAGAATCCAGGTTCCGCTATTGGTTATTGACCGGAGACGTGTCTCGGTCATGTCTACATAGTTCTCGAACCCGTAGGGTCCGCACGCTTAACGTTCGGTGACGATCGTATTATGTGTTTATGTGTTTTGATGTACCGAAGGTAGTTCAGAGTCCCGGATATGATCACGGACATGACGAGGAGTCTTGAAATGGTCGATACATAAAGATCAATATATTGGATGACTATATTTGGACATCGGAATGGTTCCGGGTGAGAACGGGCATTTACCGATGTACCGAGAGGTTACCAGAACCCCCCGGGAGGTATATGCGCCTTATTGGGCCATAGTGGGAGAGAGGAGAAGGGAGCAAAGGAGGCCCCCCAAGCCTAATCCGAATTGGGAGGGGGGCCGCCCCCCTCCCCCCCCCCTTCCTTCCTCCTTCCTTCCCCTTCCTTCTCTCCTAATCCAACTAGGGAAAGGGGGGAATCCTACTCCCGGTGGGAGTAGGACTCCCCTTGGGGCATGCCTAGGAGGCCGGCCCCCTCCCCCTCCTTCACTCCTTTATATATGGGGGAGGGGGGCACCCCATAGACACACAAGTTGATCATTGATCTCTTAGCCATGTGCGGTGCCCCCCTCCACCATAATCCACCTCGGTCATAGCGTAGCGGTGCTTAGGCGAAGCCCTGTTACGGTAGCATCATCATCACTGTCATCACGCTGTCGTGCTGACGAAGCTCTCCCTTTGACACTCTACTAGATTGTGAGTTCGTGAGACGTCACCGAGCCGAACGTGTGCAGATCGCGGAGGTGTCGTACCTTTGGTGCTAGGATCGGTCGATCGTGAAGACGTACGACTACATCAACTGCGTTGTCATAACGCGTCCGCTTACGTGGACAACACTTTTCCCTCTTGTTTCTATGCATCACCATGATCTTGCGTGTGCGTAGGAATTTTTTTGAAATTACTGCGTTCCCCAACATCTCTTTCGCGGTATTAGATGAGAAATTGGTTTTCTTTTTCCCCTTTGAGATTTTGACGAGGCATGCGTGTGTGGTTCTGTTTTCTTTTTCCCTGTGAGATTTTGACGAGGCATGCATGCGTGGTTATAGATGGTTTTTTCCGTCTCCAATCTGTTTTGTTGAGGTGTTTATTTCCACAGTCTGAATCGATGCCGGCACGAAAGGAAGACAGGTTGTGCTAATTAAGTTGCATCATAAATAGTTAGTAGAATTTTTAAAAATGGCTAACGGATAAAAATAACATCTTATTCACATTCTACACATTTTTTGAATCAAAATTCATATATAACATGTTAAATTTGGACTTAAGATTTAAAGATGTGACTTTTTTTGGAAAAAAAACACTTGATATGAATTGTGGGTTGATTAACTCAAATGTCAGGGATGATTTTGCACCAAAAATCAAAAGGTTTTTCTCGATGACTTAAACCCGTACCAGTTCTAGTAACCACACAGGTTTCTACAAAAAGCAAAATGTTTTTCTCGATGACTTAAACATGGACTGTGGATTAATTTCAAGAATAGCAGAGGCTTTTCTGAAAAAGAGTGTGACGGAAGCCGAAATACTAATTTCTTTATTAGTAGGTATAGATATAGATATAGATATAGATATAGAGTAGAACAAATGCTCGTGCGTGGCAACGGGAGAAACAAACTCTCGCACACCCATACCATCACATCTGTGTTGTTACTTCTCCTCTTCGTCATCATCTTCCGTGATGGTCACTTGCCCACCTATTTCATCCGATGTGATCAGTCCAAAGGCGATGATCTTGGTCATCACACTCACCATGCATATTTCTCGAGCCCCTACCTGCACCAGCTTGTAATTCCTTGTGTGTTGCAACTGCATATACATGTTCATGTGGTTGAACACTAATCATGTCTTAATATACCAGGCGATGCATTTCTTTATTGAGCACTCACAATAATAATTATTAATGCAAAAATAAATTAAGGTGTGTGGTCATCAACTTGTTGACTCAACTTAAACCGCATACACTTCACTATCACCACCGTCCACCTTCTTCATCTCTAACATGAACTTGGGCATGTTTTTGGCAGTGAACCATGTTGTGTTGTTCTGCCATGCCATCGAACCATGCATTTGGATGTTTGTATACAAGCTCCAAACCATGATTTGGTATTTGAGCAGGTCTGATTTAACTATTTGGATTTGTTCTGCCTTAACTCCCAAAAATAAATCGAATATGGCTCAACCCTTGCCAATGCGTGCGTGACCTTCCGCAATATAGAGCACCGGTGCAACGATTTGGGGTGACTTCATTCTTTTGCCTCCACTGCCGCAAAACTTGCAAATAAATTCATAGTTGGGAAGTGACCGGATCACCTATAATAGTAGAAGGTAGATTGACTTTGACATATACCTATTGTCAGCTCTCACGTACATCATATGAGATTCAGCAAAAACAACATCATCAGGAGATTCAAAAGTAACATGGCCACTTTTGACAAGCTCCTCCAGGAGTCTCTTTTCGATGTAATTAGTGTGATCCCATATACTCGTAGGTAGAGTCACAATGGGACTTCTTTTATGCATGCACAGCCGATGATATATATAATCGGTCCACAACGGAATTTATTTTGTTCTGTTAATTTCTTAACAGTGAAATTTTTATTTCTTATTTTAGTTCCTAGCGAATTTCATTTCATCTTTAATTCCTTCCCTTCATGCCTCATGTAATTATACCAAAATTTATTCTGTCTTTTATTCTTTCCTTATGAAATTTCTTTCTTCTTTAATTCCTTTCTTCATGCTTCGTATATGATAGGGAAATTTATTTATTCCTTCTTTCATTCTTTCCTTTAATTCCTTCCTTCCTGCCTTATCATAAAGGATGAAATTTATTTCATCTTTTATTCTTTCCTTTAATTCCTTCCATTTCCGCCTCATCATAAGGATGAAATTTATTCCTTATTTTTTCTTCTTTCCTTCCATGCTCATAATGGCGGAACTTACTCCTCCATTTAATTCATTTCCTTCATTGAATATTTTTTTAACAAAATTCGTTTAACCCGTATAAAAGGATATCTTCTTCTTCATTCTCAAATAACATGATAGGTAGGTTGGCGGGGAGCGTACAGAGAGGGAAAAAACAGGACGATGTGTGGGCGGGCTGGGCACGTACGAAGGAAAAATAAATAAGGCGACGTACAAAACAATTGATTGGACCAAAAAAGGTGGAGAAAAAATCCTCCCTTTAATATTAGAATTAGAAATTAGAAATTAGAATTAGAATTATAGAATTAGAAATAGAGATGGAGATAGAGATATGAAGTAGTAGGTATAGATATAGATATAGATTGGTGCTATACGAAAGATTGAACATTTATAATAGAAAATACATGATCAGATCATTGGTGATATACGAAAGATCGAGCATTTATAACAGCAAATATACGAAATAACCGAGAAATACAGCCCAAAGCATTTTCCGCCAGGACCAGATGCTATTTATACACCACAGTTACCATCCCATTGCGTTGCTTCCAACAGATCGTGCCATGCATCTTGCCGGACGGTAGTGTTGCTTCCTCCCAGCTTGATTGACTCCACCAACTTCGCTGACAAAGCCAATTTAGCCATGTCCGGCGATGGCCAGAGCGGCTCCGCAAGGGCGCACTTCGTGCTGGTCCCCATGATGGCGCAGGGTCACATCATTCCCATGACCGACATGGCGCGCCTGCTGGCCGAGCACGGCGTGCAGGTTACCTTCATCACCACGCCAGTGAACGCGTCCAGGTTGGCGAGCTTTGCCGCCCACATGGAGGAGACAGGCCTGGCGGTCCGGCTCGTGGAGCTCCATTTCCCGGCAGCCGAGTTTGGCCTACCGGACATGTGTGAGAACGTCGACATGATCCAATCCAAGGATCTGGTGTTACACTTCCTGGAGGCATGCGCCGCGCTTCGGGAGCCGCTCAAGGCGCACCTCCGTGAGCAGCAGCAGTCGCCTCCGAGCTGCATCATATCTGACACGATGCATTGGTGGACCGGTGACGTCGCAAGAGAGCTTGGTATCCCGAGGCTCGCCTTTAGTGGCTTCTGTGGCTTCTCGTCCCTTGTCAGGTACAATCATAAAAGGGAAATCCCATGAGTAGTTAATTTTGTACTGGGCAAATTAACTGCTATTACTATCTTTTGTTTTGCAGATCAATTGCAGTTTGTTGACGTTTAAGCCTGCAGTTTTATGTGATTTTAACAACTATTACCACCTTGCAGTTACATCATTTGCCACGACAACTTATTGAAACACGTCACAGATGAGAATGAGCTCATTACGATCCCAGGGTTCCCTACACCACTGGAGTTGGCAAAGGCTAAATGCCCTGGACGCATTCCCATTCCAGGTATGGAGCAAATTCGTGAGAAGATCTATCAAGAGGAGCTGAGATGCGATGGCGTAGTCCTTAACAGCTTCAAAGAGCTGGAGACATTGTATATCGAATCCTTTGAGCAGGTGACAAGGAAGAAAGTATGGACGGTCGGGCCAATGTGCCTCTGCCACCAAAACAGCAACACAATCGCCGCAAGAGGAAACAAGGCGCCAATAGATGAGGCAGAGTGCTTGCAGTGGCTTGATTCAATGAAGCCAGGCTCAGTGATCTTTGTCAGCTTTGGCAGCCTCGCCTGCACTGCACCTCAGCAACTTATTGAGCTCGGCCTGGGACTTGAAGCCACCAAGAAACCATTCATTTGGGTGATCAAAGCGGGAGATAAGTTTCCAGAAGTTGAGGAATGGCTCTCAGATGGCTTCGAGGAACGCGTCAAAGACAGAGGCATGATCATAAGGGGCTGGGCGCCACAGGTGATGATCCTGTGGCACCAAGCCGTTGGAGGATTTATGACGCACTGTGGGTGGAACTCAACAATAGAGGGCATCTGTGCAGGCGTGCCCATGATCACTTGGCCGCACTTTGCCGAGCAGTTTTCAAATGAGAAGCTGGTGGTGGAGGTGCTGAACATTGGGGTGGAGGTTGGAGTGGAAGGAGTTACACGGTGGGGACATGAACACAAAGAGGCTATGGTTACAAGAAATGATGTGGAGAGAGCAGTGTACGCCCTGATGGATGAGGGGAAAGCTGAAGAGCAGTTCCAGGTGAGAGCAAGAGACTGTGCCATTAAGGCAAGGAGGGCTTTCGATGAGGAAGGTTCTTCATATAACAACATAAAGCTACTGATTCAAGAAATGGGAAACAAGACAAATGCACATGGTGTAAACTTAATAAAAAGATTTATTTTCCAAATAACCAGTAGCTCACTGGTGGTGGCCTAATTGTTTAGAGATTAGACATGGTCCAAATGAGTTGACAGCAATATCGATTATCCATACTGTTATACAGGTTCCATGGCAGTCAACATAATGTTACACACAGTCTGATTTTCCAGATGTTATGTTCTCCCTTCCCTTTGTCTCCCGCTAGCTCATCAGAGTTAATAAGAGTTGGAAAAGGGCAAAATATAAAATAAAATGTATCCACACAATCAAAAACTGACACTGAAAGAACGAGGTAATTCGAGGTGAATAATCGAAAGAAAAGAAGGAATTAGAAGCAGCATAAAGTGCACAAGAAATTAGAAGCTTATGTTTGACTGAGTAGTGTGACGAACATTAAGTTTCAAGGATCTCTTCAATCCTAATCCTAAAAAATGGTTTGAGGAGGGCCAACTCAAGATTAATGAAGAAAACATTTACTTCAGGTGCCACATTCCTGCTAAATATGCACTTTAACCTTCTAAATATATTTTTTCGGATAAAAGTATGTATTTTCTCCCTCCATACCAAAAAATAATACGTTTTTGCACTTCAATTTGAACTACAAAAACGTCTTATATTTTGATACGGAGGTATCTAATAACTGTGGGCACAGAGATGTGTGAATAACTTATACTATGGTATAAATAAATGCATCTAAATAGAGTGGCTATTCCACAAAATGTTTCAAGATTTACTGAGCAACTATGAACAAGCATGGTGAAATATTCTACAATCAAAGCAGGTCAATGTTTTGAGTTCATTACAAATTCAACTACCAACTAGGCAACGGGATTGAACATATGAAAGCTGCAGATTGGTGGAAATAGAACGAACCTGGTTTCACTAAGCAGTAAGCACCAAACAGTAAAGCTTCAGCAGACACCCAGATTTGCTACCAAATGAATGGCAGAACGCTGTTGCACCATGATCATCAGCTTCAGGCCAGAAGTTCATGTATCACATGTTGGTGAAAGAAAATTTAGAAGACCAGACAAATTCCTTTGGACTAATAAATATAAGAATTGCATTGGAACCTCTCTCAAATACAGTCTAAGAACAAATTACCGAGAGGAGCAGAGCAAAACTTACTAGTATCTAACCAGCAAAAGAATACAGATTGCATGGCATGCAATAACTCACCTTTCTTTTAATAGAAGTTGCGCCAAACTGTCAATATAACAATCATCATTCAGCAACAGAGAAGATTAGGCCAAGATGTTTGGGGATGATCCCAAATGATAACTTAACATGTATGGCTTCCATTGGTGTGAGAATATTGTCTTAATTATCACTTCGTCTTCTGAAGTACAGATTTGCAACCAGTGCATCATTTGAAACAAAAAATGCTTGTTAATCACTGAGTGATCACTCAGACTTTAGGACAACTGATATTAACTTGTTTTACATCATCGATGCATGATGAGTTACCAATAGTCCTTACAAGAACAGAGTCCATGTCTAAAATGATGGAAGCGTGTCCTGTCCCTCACAACAATCTCTCTCATATATAACTTGGTGATCAATTTAATTGCATTGTGGCAGTCTAAACACATCCTCAAGTTTTTCACGATCCTTATTGTCACACTGGATTCTGATACGAGTAATGCAAAAGCGACAGCCAACTTTTCGCTGTGCCAATAAAGAACTTTTTGTTTTTCTTCTTCTGTGACTTGAACAAAGACCTCGGTTACATCAGGTACATATCCATCATTCTTCAAATCCGTGAGTACCTTGTCCAATTTAGAATAGATTTCTTCGCTCATAGGATGAGATCTATCGCCAGCTACAAATTCGTGAATTGTGCCATTCATTTCAATAAGACTGCAACCAGGCTCTTTCTTGATTCCTTTCTCCATCATTACCTGCCTAAGCCACCGGACATCTCCCCATCTATTAGATTTTGCATACAGATTGGACAAAAGGACGTAGGCCATACTGTTCTCTGGATCCAACTCAAGGAGACGTTCTGCTGCCAATTCACCTATCTCTGAGTTACCATGGACCCTACAAGCTGCCAGCAGGGTCCCCCAGATTGCAGAGCTGGGTTTCATGGGCATTTTACCTATTGTCTCCAATGCTTCTCTTAGTTTCCCAGCTCGCCCAAGGAGGTCGATCATGCATCCATAATGCATCACATTAGGAGCAATCCTGTAGGTCACAGTCATGCTGAGAAAGAAGTCTCGTCCTTTGTCAACCAAGCCAGCATGAGTACAGGCAGTGAGAACGCCAATGAAGGTCACCTCGTCTGGAGCTTCAAACGCCCTAAGCATCCTGTCAAACATATTGATAGCCTCCTCACCATGGCCATTCACTGCAAGACCAAGTATAATAGCGGTCCAAGTAAACTTATCTCTACTGTGCATCTCATTGAACACGTCCATTGCCCTCTCGATGCTCCCACACTTTGAATACATGTCTATGAGCGCATTCCCAACAAAAGTATCCATCTTGATCCCATGTCTGTTCATGTAAATTCTAGCCCACTCCCCTGTCTCTAAAGCACCAAGCTGCGCGCATGCCGTGACTATGCTGACCATGGTGAACTCATCTGCCCTCACCTTGCTAAGTTGCATCTCACGAAACATCTCCAATGCCTCTCGGAACTGGCCAGCTTGTACATAACCATCAATCATCGCAGTCCATGAGACGGTGTCCCTCTCAGGCATACGATCAAAGAGTACCCTGGCTCGATCAACCTGGCCTAGTCTTACACACCCAGAGATTACCGACGTCCAGGAGACAATGTTCCTCACCTGCATGACCTCAAACAAATCCCAAGCTGCTTCCATCTCGCCACACTCGGCATACATACCAACAAGCGCATTCTCCACCTTGAGGTCAGGCAACACCCCGCTCTCAATGACGCGCTTGTGCAGCTGCATTCCGAGCAGGACGTCGTTGCCTTTGCCACATGCCGACAGCACTGTGATGTAGGTGACCGGCGTGGGCACAACGCCAGCCCTCACCATATCCAGGAATGAGCAGCATGACAACCTGAACTGCCTGCTTCTCTTGTGGCCGGACATAAGCGCATTCCACACAACGGGCGTGCCGCCACCTCCGGCAGGCTGCACGTCCAGCAGCGCACGCGCCATCACGCCGTCGCCCCTGGCAGCGTACATGAGCACCAGCGAGCTCGCCACGTGGGCGTTGAGCTCCAGCCCAAACTTAACCACATGCGCGTGGACAGAGTCTCCGACGGACGGCGCCACAGCACCCCGCTCCGCCGCCACCGCCTTGAGCAACGGCGGGAACGTGTATGCGTCAGGCCTGGCTCCGCGTGCCAGCATGCCCACGTACGCCCGCAAGGGCATCCTCGGCCCTGGCAGCCAAACCAGCACCGTGGGCTGGGAATTCCGTCGAACAGCCGCGGGCGCAGAGCAATGCGGGTGCCAGCCTTCCCCGCGCACCCCTCACCGCGCCGTCGTCGCGTTAAACGCGGGTAGATTGATTTACCGCGGCATCGTCGCGTTAACCGCGGGTAGATTGATTTACCGCAGCAGGGAAAGGAAGGATGAGCCGACGAGATGGACTGCACTGGGGGGTGGCGCACCGAGCACGTCTGGTCTACGAACGACAGCGGCAGCAGATTAGAAAACACGGGCGAGCGAGGAGGTCCCGGCGCATCACGACGGAGGGACCTATCGCTGGACGTGCTCACGTGGAGCTGCGCTCCGGCGAGCAGGGTCGGCAACCAACAGCAGCGGTGGCCTTCCGGCCGCGGGATAGCGGTGGCCTTCGAGCGGGGAATGAAGACTTCGCTCGCCTTCCGCTCTGTTTTTCTTTTTCTTTTTCTCTCTATATAAGAGGCTGTTTGGAATCGGTGTAAAATTTGTGTGGCCACCAATATTTAGCTCAAACTTTAATTAAATATCAGTGTGCACAAAACAACACATCCATTTCAAACGGGGTCTCAGGTTTCAATTCTACATATGTGTGTATGATTTTGTAGATCTCCAACCCGCATGGATAGAATATGTGTACTAGGAATCCATCTGATTTTCTTTTACAAAGTAGTATATTTTACAAATGTACTAGATCACTGATTGCGTGCATTGTCGCACCCATCTATTTTCAGAAAAAGATAGTAAAAATATTATAAAAACTGCATGCGCCATAAATTTGTTATTTTTTTTCAAAAATTCACTTTATGGTCCTTTGATATAGACAAGCAATATTGCCAAACAAGCTCAAGGTAATCGGAGATTTTAAAAAATCATTAACATCAAATGGCTTTGGTTTTTTTCAATGTTCAAGAAAGCGTTTTTAAGCGTCGCTTAAGCGCTGAGCGACAGCTAAACGCTTCGTTTTTGGCCTAGACGCAACTTTTAGCGTTGAGCGGAAAAAAGCGTGACTTAGCGATCGGTTAAGCGCTAAGCGCTGGCTGAGCGTTCGCTGCGCATTCTTAAGCGGCAGAGAAGCGAAGAAGGCAGGCCCAAAGG